TGTGGTGGCGTGGTGTGTGGTGGCGTGGTGTGTGATGGCGTGGTGTGTGGTGGCGTGATGTGTGGTGGCGTGGTGTGTGGTGGCCTGGTGTGTGGAGGCGTGGTGTGTGGTGGCGTGGTGTGGGGTGGCGTGGTGTGTGGAGGCGTGGTGTGTGGTGGCGTGGTGTGTGGAAGCGTGGTGTGTGGTGGCGTCATGTGTGGTGGCATGATGTGTGGTGGCGTGGTGTGTGGTGTGTGGTGGCATGATGTGTTGGAATTAGTGATATGGGTGTGTTGGAGGTATGCAGCTGTAGGGATGTGGGGTTAAAGAGGTAGGAATTGGGAATATGGAGGAGAGTCCTTGTAGTTGTTGTGTGATGTGGGGTGGTGTGGTGTGTTGGAATGAGCGATGTGGGCGTGGTGAAGGATTGAGTGGTGTGCTGTGCTGTGAGTAGTGTTGTGAGTGCGGTGGCAGCTGTAGGGATGTGGGTAGTAGATTGATGATGTGGGTTGTTAAGTCAAATGTGTGTATGTAAGTTTATTTGATGATATGAAGATATGTGTGGTAGACGGAATGCTGAGGTTAGTGTGTAGATGTAAGCTGGTGTGATGTGTACATGTCTAGGGGTATCATCCTCTTTACCCGTGTCGTGCCCAAGACACATGTGACAGATGAAACAGAGTTCTTCTGTTTCTAATGAACTAGGCATACATGGGGATAATGTGGCCGGCACTATAAGCACCCACCCTTGTTTCCTTAACGTGAGTCAGGTACCCATCAGAGACGTGTTGATTTAGGGACGCCATGAAAACAAGAGCCCATGTATTCGAACTTGAGACTTTCATGTAAGTACTCTAAATCCCTAACATACGCCCACGCTATCAACTGAGGTAGGGGTATAGAGAAGTATTATTGCCTGTTTTAGTTAAAACATAGCTTCATTTATACATGTTCAATAACTTTATGTATTCATTGTGTATTAATCTTTAAACTTCATAATTACCTATTGGCCAATACATTTCGTGGTATGAAAGTCTATATTAGCTATATATTCTATTTATTCAACATTGTTAATACATTCACTTGCACATTCACTTGCACGCTTCAGCCTCTATAAGGTTATACATTATATTTATACAAAACTTTGTTATATATTCACCTCAACACATGATGCTATAACAGCCTATAATTGTTATGTATTACCCACTTTATATTCTATTACTGCCTATAATTTTTATGCCATACACCAAAACAGTATGTGCTATTACTGCACATAATAGTTATGCAATACCCCAATACAGTATGCGATATTGCTGCCTATAATAGTTATCCCATACCACAGTATGTGCTATTAATGACTATAATAACTATGCCATAACACAACACATTTTGTGCTATTACGCTATTGCTGCCTACACTACTTACGCAATAACCAAACACAGTATGTAGTAATACAGCCTATTTATCTTAAGCATTACCCTACTACATTATGTGCGATTACTGCCTACAATATTTATGCCATACCACAACGCAGTATGTGGCAATACAGCATATATATCAAACATTACCCTACCACATTATGTACGATTACTGCCTATAATAGATATGCCATACCACAACACAGTATGTGGCAATACAGCATATATATCAAACATTACCCTACCACATTATGTACGATTACTGCCTATAATAGATATGCCATACCACAACACATTGTGTGCTATTACTGCCTACAATATTTATGCCATAACACAACACAGTATGTGGCAATACAGCCTATATATCAAGCATTACCCTAGCACATTATGTACGATTACTGCCTATATTTGTGACCCATTACTGCAACACTTTCTTGTCCATTTCTCCTACCCATCATACCCTATTATCTTCTATATTTGTTATCAATCTCTCCAACACATCCTATCCCCCTATTGACCGCCTATATTTACCTACTTCCACCCCAAGTGATAAGATCTCGCTAAGAAGCGCGGGCATAATCGAGGGCACTCCCACAATGCCTTGCATGTGCAGGGGCAATAAGTCGGTCTGATCCCCCGGCAAGGGGAGAGAACCGAAGAATTGTCAACTTCCGGATTACCAGCGTCAACATGGGCTCGGGTCGGGGCGCTAATGGAGAGGGCCTGCCGGGTAATACAGCCTGTGGCTTGTATGTGGGGGTGTTGTGTGTGGGGGTGGAGAAGCGTGTGTGGGGGAGATGTATACGTTTGTGTGGGGATATGTGCGGTTGTGAAAGAGATAAGCCAGCCGAATATACAAGGATATACGTGCACCAAAGCTATTGTTTTCTTATCTCTATAGACTGGAAATGTTGGGATGTGATGGAATGGGCGATTGTTGAAGTTTTGGAATCAACGAAAACTGATGCGTTATCTTAGATCAGATACATAAAGTCCATGTTATTCCACTGCAGGCTACTTAAAGATACGTATTAGACGTTTTTAAGTGAGGTTTTATTTAAGTGAGATTTTATGTTTCAATTCAAGTTAATAGCAGTATTTGTGGGGTGTTCATGTTTTATTTATGACATTTTTTTTTTCCGGGGATGAGAAGGGCATGTAAAACTTCTGATGGGCGGACATTGTTGTAAAAGATATATTTTTAAAAATAAAGTATGCATATTTTTTTTTCTATTTTAACCGAAAGGTGGTGGACGTGTAAGCTGGTGGTGTGGGGGGGGGGGGGGGGGGTTGCTACCTCTCCCCTTCCCCGCTGAGATTCCTGATAGAAACACAGGTTGTTAAGGCTATGCAATAGATATTAAGATACATATATTAGCTAGCCCTTAAATGCATTTTACTATGTTGTCGAGAGCATAATAAAATATTTTTTTTTAAATGATGTAAAAGTAGATTTTTACATTTTGCTTCTTAGGCTTGTTCTTCTTCGTTCTTAATTTTAGAATTGTAAGGGACTTGTTATGCGCCTTATAGGACGTTGACTCCGATTTCAGCCTGCTTTTCTTTTTGGATTTGCTTTCGTAGCCGTTGTCCAACCAAGAACAAACAACGACAGTAACTTGTTTCTTTTCGGAGTTGTCTCTCCTAGAAGAGTTGCTGTCCTCAGCTATCTAGTTGTCTCTCCTAGATCAGTTGCTGTCCCCCATCGCCTCATCTTCCAGGTAACTCGAACTCGGGACTATCAGTTTAGCAGCCATGAGCTTTACCGACCCCACCACGCCCACCTCCTCTTGCATCATGATTAGTTGATTTACAGATCGTGACCTATGTATTATAGGTATAATGGTCAATGTATTTACGATTCGATAATTAATTAGATAATAATTATTACAATGGATGTTTCTGATGTAAAAGTGTTATGTATTTATGTTACGTGAACCGTAACTTTATTAATCTAATTTCTAGAACAGGGTAGTTTGTTATTATTTTCCAGGAATAGATTATTTATTATCCTTCATCTTTTTAAACACTCTATGAAGCATTGGCTATTTATAACATCATTCCCTCCTTTTTTCTGTTCTTTGTTATTAATATTTCACATATTTTAACGCTTTTAACAATTTTCGTCATGAATAAATGATGTATGACAGTTATTGAAGAATCAGTTTCACCAATTATCGATTTATGCCTCGATCGTTAAAAACTCGACGTAACTGTTGACAGAACCAAATATAATGTTTAAATCACAGGCTTTAAATCATGTCAACTTTGACCCCCCCCCCCCCCCCCATCACAGTTGACCTTTTAACACGTGACCCCCGTACGCTGCCTGAGATAACAACCCCGGGGGCAGCAATTATAACATTCTGCATCAGTCGGTTACAGGAGGAATTGATGGGCGGCCGGGTCTCCCCCTGCCCCAGGTGTTTTATGGGTGGGGGTCGGGCATGTGTGATAGGTGGGTAGGGGGTCGGGGGTGGAGTGGTTGCTGTATGGTGATGTGGTAGGGCCGGAGTGTCTTCTGTGTGGGGTGAGGCGTGGGTGTTTTGTGGTGGGGTAGGGTGAGGCGTAGGTGTTTTTTTTCTTTTGGTGGGGTGGGGTGAGAAGTGGGTGTTTTATGGGTGGGGTGGGGTGAGGCGTGGGTTTTTTGTGGGTGGGGTGGGGTGAGGCGTGGGTGTTTTATGGGTGGGGTGGGGCGTGGGTGTTTTATGGGTGGGGTGGGGCGTGGGTGTTTTGTGGGTGGGGTGGTGTGAGGCGTAGGTGTTTAATGGGTGGGGTGAGGCGTGGGTGTTTATGGGTGGGGTGGGGCGTGGGTGTTTTCTGGACGAAATGGAAGGAAATGGTGGTGCCCTATGTTCCATTAGGAGCAACGAGAACTTGGTCAAGTCTAGTTATGGCGTGGGAAGGCTGTCGAAAATCAAAATATTTGGGACGGGATTCGTATGTCAAGTTCTGGTGAATTGAGTAGGTGTGAAAAGCTTGAAGTTCAAATTGTGTGCATCGTGTTGATTGTCAAAGTACAAAGTTGCAAGAGGAGGCGCTGTGTGTAGATGTAGAAATTATAGCAGATAGCAGTTTAAGGCTAGGAGCTACAGGGCAAACACTTTTTTGTTATTAGTCAAGCAAATTCACTGAAACTTCACCCATATATTGTATGCTCAATGGGATTTTTAAAAATGGTGTCCAAAAAGAAAAATATTTTTGGTTGCCATGGTTACGTCCGCCATATTGGATTTTTGTTTATCATTTTCAAAATGCTAAGGCTCAGCAACCACTAAAGGTAAACACACAGAAATGCAAGCATTTTGTAGAGTGATGTTAGCCTGAAACTTTCTATAAAGTACTTTTTAAGAAAAGGGTTTAAAAAAATTATTTTTAATTTTTAAATCCTAGACTGTTAAAAAAAGCTGAAATTTGCTCAAATTCAACATATTTCAGTCCATAAAATCTAAAGTAAGGAAAATCTTTAAAAAATGCTTTATAGAAGTTGTTTATATATGTTAGAAAAATAATCAGGCTAAGTTTCATTACAATACATGCAGAACTAACAGAGGAGTAGGGATTTGAAGAGTGAATTTTAACGTTTTGAGAAAAACGCAAAAAACTAAAGAAAAATGAAAAATTTCATTCATAACCTAACAAATACTAACAAAATTTGGTTTTAATTTATGCAGGTTTATTTAACATATAAACATGCAATGAAGTATTAAACTTGCAAGTACATTTTAAATAATAAAGTAAAAAAATTGTCGTACAAAGATAATGCGTCAAATACGTAAAGGCAAAAAACATTTTTATTTTCTTAAAATAAGTTGTTTCAAAAATTGGGCTGAACCACACCTAACAGTTCTATTTTGTTAAGCATATTCACATTTCATTTTGGCAACTGCTACTTTTTCCTGCCATCTAGCTTTTTCTTTTTTTCAGATTAGTTGTCCGGCAAAATGTTTCAATGTTTTTTTTTAAATTATTGCTACCACTATAACTATAATAATTGATTTATCCATCTCTTCAGCTCTCTTTATCTCTTCCTGTTAATACTTGTGCACTGACCAAAATAAATGCTCTTTTTCCAAGTTATTGTCTGGTTTCATACTGCTTGGCTTTCTCTTGGCAAAGGTCAATTCTATAAAGGAAAGTAGAACATAAGTTATTCTAGTGGACAAAAAAAAAAACACTTTACCACAAACACATTTTGCATTGAATATGTATTAAATCCTAAACTAAGTTGCAAAATCATTGTAAGGTATAAGCTATAAATAAATTTTACAACTGTTTTGGGTCCAGAACATGATTTTGAAAAGCGGTTTGCCGTCATTCGGATACATGATTCTCCTTTTTGCAGTATTTAAAAGTTGCCATATTCTTTCACTGAGGTCACTTGGTCACTAGCTCTTCAATCATTTTCTCCAGATATTGTTATGTGAAACAAAATTATGTGTAGGGAGATTACCTTGAACCAGGGCAACTTGCAGGGTTTTCAACACACACTGTAGGCCTAAATCATAGGGGAAATGAATTTATTAATAAAATATACAAATGTAAAAAGAAAAGTAATCATAAAACTATAGTGATATATTGTATGAATATAAGAATAGGAGAATCACTGAATAGAATTTGATTTATTAGTTTGAGGAGATTAAAATCTGTTGAACTAGTATCTGAACCACTAATGAGTCTAATGACAAACAGGTCTACTAACCTAAATAAGATGTTCAAAGAAAAAAAATATGTAGGCCTACTAATTAATCTTTAAATTCAAATAGTTTAATGGATATTGAAATACTCACTGCTTGATGTCCGTGCATCTATTCCTTGTAAACAAAATTTAAGGCTGTAGTTTTCATAATCACTGGACAGCAGTAGAACATCACACACATGAGCCTAGTTTCAAATAGTTTGTTGTGTACTCTTTTATCCTTGTTACGCATTAGGACACTTGTAACATGTGCAGGCCAACTTCACCCGGGGATTACTTAAGTTATTACCAAAATTGTTCTATCTGATAAGTCTGTTTTGGGTTCGATCACAGGGTGATAGTGTATTTCTTGCTGTGTAGTGTGTAATAACTTACTACACACGTAACACACAGCTTACTCTTGTCGTGTGCGGTAGGCTTGTGTAGACTAAATCTAGTAGCAGTAAATCAACAGAGAAAGATGGCTGGTATGAAATCACGGAACTTCTAAACAGTTCAAACATTATTAAACCGATAAAAACATTTGATACGATGAGATTTGTCTAAAAAGTTTGTAAACAGCTGATTGAAAATCAACAACAAGAATCAGTTCATCACTAGGCACGCCGGAAGCGATAAACTAGCTAGCGAATCAAAAATTTTAACACTGATAATTCCGAGTCCGCCAGCCAATAGAATTTTACCTTGCTTCCGGGGTAAGGCCGAGTAGGAAAATTTGGTATATGTAGGTCAAAATCTTTAAAAAGTGTGTTTCATTTGAACATTCGAAATTAAATGGAATATTTTCATTGGTTGACAAATTTACCTTGTCGTTATAGACAAGAAAAGGAGCTTTCCGGCGATACTAAACACGCGGTAGCTATTTTTAGTTATCTGTATGTTTTATAGTAGTAAACTTAGGCAATTTTCGCTGTATTTTTGAAAAATTAGACAAAACATGCATATACATGCCTCACAAAAAAATTAATTTAAAATAAAAATAAGCATTTTCCAACAATATGTTATGTGGTTTTGTATTCAGAAATGGATATACTTTAATAATTAGGTCAAAACTGAAATTTGACATCTGACACCCAACACACTTAAATCGTGTGCCGCACACAGCCTTAAGTATGTGTAAAATGTTTCTTGTAAGACTAAATCGTATTCAAATCAACCATTATTGTTGAAAAAAATGTATTACAGTTAAAGCTACGTGCTGAATTTACTTGTAATATACGTAAAATGTTTTCCATTGTAGCGTTTATAGATAAAGTTACCTTGTAAGTTTAACGGGCTGTTTATAGCCATTGTCGTCCAATCTAAAAAAAAACAAAGCGAAGCAAATTACAAATTTGAATCTAATCAAACAATCACACACAAACATGCAATATCGATCCCGGGTTCAATGTTTTGTGTTGGGTTTTATTTTTAGCACGTCAATAAACAAAATTTGAAAGAGTTAATTGATGCCAACCCCGTTTAGCTGATCTTGTTTTGGGAAACGTTTCATCAAGAACTGTTGTAAGAAGTGTGATTTCATATAGAGCAATGGCCTTTTAAAAAAAAATTGTTTTCTGAAAATAGTATACAGATATTTTAGCTTGCATGAAATTAATTACTTATTTTTTATTAACTTTGTAAATAAATCATTGTGTATGTTTTACATGCTGTTTTTTTAAATTGGTATTATCAGAGTTTCTTTTAGGCATCTCTTCGGGAGGGGGGGGGGGCGAAAATTCTACCGCCCCCCCCCCCCCCCCCCAAATGAAATAAAATTTATATAATTTATATAGAACATATATACTTTTTACCAGTGTCCGCCCCCCCCCCCAAAGAAAGTCTACCGCCCCCCCCCCCCCCCCCCCGAAAATTTCAACTCCCCCCCCCCCCGGAGAAAAATGTCTGGAAGAAACAGTGGTTATTATATACAATTTTAACATAAAAATGATATTAGGCTACTTCGCAGTTCATTTATCGTGGCCTCAGTACATCGCGGATTTATTTATTCGTTCTCTTGAGTCTTTTTGTGTAGAATAGTGCTTGCAACACCCTTGAAAATGACCACCTAAATGTCTTCCGCCCCTCTGAATCCTCTAGTGAACCAATGATAATAAAGATGATACCATAGGTACTGAGTTTCATCAACACGCGTTGATATCAAACGTACAAAAACAAGTTTATAAAAAGTCTAGTGACAATTTAAGCGCAATTTCCTTAATTAATTTTTTGTGACCGAACGAAAGGATATTTTTGAAAACTTTCTTCGGCAATATTGTTCTAAATTATGGCAGGAATCGACTGGTAAATGTTTCAAGTCGCTAAGTGGTCTGGTTGCCGAGATATGAGCCAAAAACTGCATTTTTCGAGGTTTTTTTTTTGCTTTTCCGGGAAATCCAGGAAGGAATTCCGGGAATATTTTTGGCTCACAATCATCCTCGGAACTTGCTTAACATATTTGCTTTTGGAACTAGTCCTCGGTATTGCTTCGTTGAGGAGGAGATACGACTTAAAGCTGCGGACACACATCCATTCATTCATTCATCCATCCAGAAATGACGAGTTAATAATCGCAATTCCTGTAAGGAAATTGCGCTAAAAAAAATTGTAGGTGTGTTGAAATCGGAGTAAAACTACTTCGCCTTTTTCGCTTATCGCGGCCAGTTATGGTAACTGAGGGATGAATGTAATGTTTTCAGCTTTACGTTTTGATTTTCGATTGACGTATTAGTTTTTATATTGGTTCCTAGGAAGCTTTTTTTTTTTAGCTGGGTGGTTTAATACCACGCACCACGATTTATTTTTAGGTGACAAAGAAGAAGCGAGTTATGCAAGAATAGGCAGTAGGCTGAATATATTACAGAGAAAATGTGCATTAATAGATATACATACATTTATTTTTATTTAAAGATTTGAGAACATATGGTAATATAACTTTTGACTTTCTCTTCAAGTTAACTTAAGAGAAATTAGGTTAACTTTCATCAAGATACACTAGCACTCTCAACACCATAACTGCTCTAACATTCACGACCGCTCACCCCTCAAATCCAGCCCATCCACTCTCACTTATCCACTACACCCATCACCACCCTAATCCACTTCCCCATCCATCAATAACTGTTTACCCTACCAGACGGCATGTCAATAACCTTAATGCTCGCGCGCAACAAACCCACGTGATCGCCGGTACACACAGCGCCATCTGGTCGCAACACCCCCCCCCCCCCCCCACACACACACCTTCCCCCACCCCCCAACGATTAAGAAACCATCTTCCTTTTGAACTGGCGCCAAGGGCTATCGCATACCCCGGCCTGGGATAGATGTGTTGACACTGGCGTCACATCCGCCAGGCCCTGTGTTGACTTGCAAGCGTGTCTGTGTGTCTGTGTGAGTGGACGACCGTCCAGCGAGGAGGGAGGAGGCTAGAGAGGGAATAGGGACACACACACACACCCACCCCCCCCCCCCACACACACACCCACACACACACACACACACAAATAGAAAGAGTGAGAGATAAAAAAAAAGCCTGCCCACCAATGATAGGCCGTTGAGGAAACAGTTAAATGTAAAAAGGGGCTAGGGCATTAACGGAATCAGATCGGTACACAATCTTTGATTGATTCCACATGGGGGAGGGGAGGGGGGAGCATCGGTCTGGGTCAGTCGAGTAAACACGTGATCATAGGAGGTGGGTGTGGGGGGGCGGCTTGCGTAATAAACAGGTAACAGAGCTATCCTATCAGTTTAAAAAAGGGTAATAAGTACATTTATAAAAGCGTTTTTAAATAATTATCATATGCCCATTCAATTTACAACTTCTAAATATTTGATTTTTTAAAAAAAAATATATATTCTTCTTTATCTGATCATAATCATCTAGGTGTCAGCATTGTCGAGTCGGTAAAGCTTAAGGTAGCTAAACCAAAAAGTCTCGAGTTCGAAACCTCGTTAGCTTAAGAACGAAGAAGAAGAAAGAAGAAACCTCGTTAGCTGGGGACAGCCACTCTTCTAGGAGAGACAACTCCAAAATTAAACAACTGCTGCCTTGTAGTTTGTTCTTGGTTGGACAAAGGCTATGGAAGCAAATCCAAAAAGAAAAACAGGCTGAAATCGGAATCAATGGCCTCAATGACGCATACTCAGTTGACACGTATCCTTAAGAGAAGGATCCCTTCCAATAATGACGAAGAAGAAGAATAAGTTCACTTTAAAGTACCTAGTTAAAATACACGACTAACTAGCAAGGTGAAGTAGAGCAAATCTAGGAAAGACAACTCTAAAATCAAACAACTTTTAATTTGCACTTGGTTGGACAAATTCTATGAAATAAAATCTAAACAGAAATACACCTTCATATTCAAATGACTTGTACTTTGGATTAAGTTTGACAAAGGCTATGTAGGCAAATACAAAAAGAAAAGGTAGGCTGAAATAGGAGTAAACATCTATATGACACATGACAGGTTGTCCGTCAAAACTGTATTGTGTTGGAGGAAATCTCTTTCAACCCTAGAATTAAGAATGATGAAAACCAAGTAATTTTATTTTTAGCTCAGCACTTCGACTTTTCTGTGTATTTATCGTGAATTTCATTCTCTTTTTATAACTTTTCATTTATATTTTGTCACCCACGATAATTTGCATCGAAAATGTTATGGTCTATAGTCTATACTACGCACTTTTTGTATCTACTACTTTGTGTTCCCTTAAAGGGAATTAACTGAGCACATTCTAAGGGAAATAACCTAATCATTTTGTTCTTATTTGTAAATGTATCAGTATATATGTAACTAAACGTTTGTCTATGTGTCAATTATATTAAGAAAATTGGTAAAAAAATAATTTAAAACAGTTACTAGGGTCAAGGTAGCTATATATCTATTTTGTCTATTTAAAGTAAAAAAAAATACTTTTCGCTTACAGTGTAGAAACGATGTGAACGAATATATATATTTCAAAAAATCATCTTTCCTGCAATCAAAATGGACGCTGACACAAACATTAACAATTATTTCTTCCTCTTCTCGTGAATATCTCACTTCTGAACATGGATGAATTCTTAAGCACTACAAAATTTTTAAACCTCTTATTTAATTTTTGAACCAATCTATGGTTAATGTCTTTGATTATATTTTTAAATGGCTCCTTGTATCAATCAAGTCATCTTTTATATCTGCTAACATCATTATCTAGGAGACAGGCAGCGTTCTAACTTCTATCAAAATGTCATTTTCAATATTTAGACGGGTGTGACTTAAATATGCACAAAGAATCTTCTGTCGCCATTTTTAACGGACGTTAGAGGCCAGATCTTACAGAGATCTAAATTCTTGCAACCTAGGGTTTATTTCCTTGATTTGTAGTGGCGTAGGCAAGG